GCCCAAAGGGTGTATCTGGACTTAGGAAACCAAGTCAGGGATGGTTTGTTGAAAGCCACAACAAACAATCCATTATCCATAAAACCTCTCGTGGTGGTGACAACAACAATGACCGTGTCTGAACTGGTTCTACAAAGAACAAACTTCTAATTCTAATTTTTTGTTTGTTTGTTTCTAGTTGACTATTGGCCTTTTTTAAAAAGCAGTTTTCTCTTGTTGAGCTGTAGGATGAGGGATTGGTAGCGGTCACACACCGTAAGGCTGTAACAGACCAGCAGGTGAGCAGTGGGAAGACCTCCCACAAGCACAGACGGTGCACACAGAGACAAAGGCTCGGGTGTCAGCTTCCATGGTGGGCCACCAGAAGCGCTGATCAGAGGGGGACAGAATGCAGTTAATCAAGAAGAATCCCACTGGCAGACCTGGTAAACGAGCAGAGTCAAAGGACAAAATAAACAGTTAGGTGGACCATTACCTGGGTCAGGTTGAGTTTGCTGGGCCTCCCTTACTATGGACTCAATCTCCCAGGTGACTGCGGCCACTGCACAGGTTGGTGGAAGAATAGTGTCTGGGCTGTAGGGAGTCTCATCAGGGACATATTTGTGGGAGAGAGCATCAGGCTTAACATTTCTGGAGAGAGAGAAAAGTTAAACCGACCAAGCGTGCCTGACGGAAGTTGAGACCCCAGTGTCTGAAGCATCAACCTAGGTTGAACCAGGATGGAGAGGGAGGTGAAGACCACCTAGCCACCTGACCAACTGGCAACACCGACAATCACTAGCTCACTCAGCATGTATTAATCCACAGCAGAAAATAGTCCCAAACAAATGCTGTATTGAGTGCTGTTACATTTGTGACCCGTTTTAAAGTTGTACATCTTCAGTAGGAACATAAGTGGAGTGAGCTGAGTGCCACAGACAGGGTAGCAAAGCCAGGAAGTATTGAGAAGCAGATTAACACAATTGTTGATTTTGGTCTTTTAGATTTGTTAACAGAAAGAAAAATCTAGAATATCACAGATATCTTTTTTTTTATCATATCTTTTACATGAAGAGATTTGCCAACAAAGCTTAATGTTTTTTAAAATTCTGACTCAAGTTGTGTGTTGAAAGTGAATAAGTCTCTAATGCATCACTGCTTGTCTTTCAGGTCTCATAATTGGCTTTCTCACTTTTACAAGCACCTGCAGGTGAGGCGCACACACACATACACACACACTCAAACTTCATAGATACAGACGCGTCTACTTTTCTGCATCCACACAAAATTGCAGAAGACAAACACATTCTCATATGCATTGAGGTGTGCGCACACACAGAGAGGAAGCCACTGCGAAGGGTGTGAACACACCTCCATCTGTAACGACAATTATTGTGGTATTCTCACACCCTGTCTGACAAAAGTTACCGGCAGCCACACTTACAGATGTCATTAGAGAGGAGTCGAAGCTCTCTGTTGCTTTCACCTGTTGACTTCACATCAAACCCTTATGAACCCAATTAGACCCAACTGGGAGGAGGCTGGCTGAATCTCACCCTCAATCTGTCATATCAAACAAACTCACAGATCATGATTGAAAGGACAGTAGGAAATAAAAAGTTATCTAAATCACACAGATGACACTTTCATTCTTATTATTGTTTCAAATGTCAAATGATCTTCTTCGATAAAGCCTATGTATTTTTGTAATTAACCAAATTTGATAAAATGACTGAACCAATATGAAACACAAACTTACTTTTGGGAATTCACTTTTTTCAAAAATTTGATTTTTATCTTTATTTCTCTTCAGAGAACTTACTGAACCAGCAATGTACACTATTAAGCATTCTCTGAAGATCCTGCCAGAAGAACGACATCACTGCAAATTAAGAGTCTGACCCCAATACATGCTATCACGATTTGAACTATTAAATAATTGATATAGAGTGCAAACAGTGTAGGGGAGAACACATCCCGTCGTTTCGCCAAAAGGAGTCAGGAACCAACATGTTCTGTAGTCATGCAACTGGGGCTTTATGGAGAGGTTTCAAAGCTTTAGAAAATTTCCCATAAATACCAGATTTCAGTAGTCTGAATTTAAGAGGATCATGAAACAGCAAAAATTAGATCTTCCTTCCTACTCTCGCATGAATGAGTGTGGACAGAGAATATAAATACAAGCTATATTCCTACCGAGCCCATTTGTTTATCCGCCAACTGACAATTCCAAATAGTATTATATAAGTCTCTCATTGAGAACACTTGGGAGATATATTTACATATATTGTTATAGTTCTTTTGGTTTGTCTGACTCATGCACTTCAGAGGGACTGAGAACTAACATGAATTTAGTATAAAAGTATAATTTGAAAAGCAAGTTGTGACAAAATGAACTGTGAGACATTTTAATGACATACATGATCACTCATGTGCACTGCTATCTAAAGCCACTGCTTGGTAAAAAAGAAAACTGTAACTTTTATATTATAATGAAGTATCAACTTAAAAGCTGCACATTCATGTCTCTGCATCTAACTGCTGCAAGTGTTGCCATCAAGCCCTGTGTCTCAGTATGTCTGATAGAAACTTTAATAGCTACCAGCATGAGACACTGATCAGCCAAGCACATCAGCATAGTGAGATCCAATATGTCACCACCACGCAGAGAGAGAGGGAGTGTGTGTGTGTGTGTGTGTATGAGAGGAAGGCTAGTTGCATGTGTGTCTTGTTAGCGCTGGGTGTAACAGTGGAAGTGATGGCAGTAATGTGGGAATGACAAAGGAGCTCTTACTGTGAGCTATATGAAGACGTGCGAGAACCAGCGAGAGTTCTGCAACATGTCACATCCCCTGGTGTGTGTGTGTGTGTGCGCGCGCACATGTTCACACTCAGGTATGGCAGACACATGTGCGGTCTGCTAACCTGCAGTTTAAATACTTCCAACAAACGAACAACCCCAAAATGTGTAGTCAAACGGATAGAAAGTGAACTTACATAAATATGAAGTACACTTCTCTATGAAAAGCCTGTAAAGCTCCACATTACGACTCTAACTCTTCAGTACAGTGAGGGTTAGACACCAAAAACATCCTGATTCAATATTTCAAATGTCTCCTCCAGAGGAACATATTGTATGCAGCTGTTATAATAGCTGCAGAAGAAAAGCTGACTTGTTGGAGAGTAATTGACCTGCTAAAATATTCAAATTGTCAATATAATAATAATAATAATAATAATAATAAAGTCAAATTATTTGGTGCAGTGATATTGTTCATTTTCTCAATTTTTGAGGAAGAATGTTGCAGATTGCAACTCCCTCGCTTCACCCTACCCTTCCAAAAGTGCGAAGGAGAAACTATGGTGGCCGTAAAATGGCCCTATCTAGAGCCAGTGTTTAGTTTGTGTGTTCTGAACTACTGTAGAAACATGGCGGTTCAACATGGTGGACTCATTCTAAGGTAACAAAAACACAACAATATTTATTTTCAGATGATTATACACTAATGAGAACATGCCCATGAATATTATATTCAATTTCTGGCATAATTCCTCCTAAATGTTACACACAGGACCTTTAATTCAATGTTTGAATGTTTGAACAGCGATCGTTTTACTAATGATGTATACTGTACTGAATGTAGCCCTGCTAGTGGTGCTGCTCTATGGATGGGAACATCAGGCTGATGGCTTATCCGCTATAGACTGAAATATCTTAATAACTATTGCCATGAAATTTTAAACAGACATCCACAGTCCGCAGAGGATGTATCTAAATAACTGTGGTGATCCTCTGATTTTTCCTTTAGCGCCACCATGCAATTGACATTTTAGGTTTCTAGTGCAACATCTCTGCAACCTTTGGATGGATTATAATAATAATGTCAGGTTTTACAATTTAAGTGGTCCCTTAACTTTTCTTCCACCATCATCGTGTCAACATTTTAGAATGTCCAATGCTTCGATTAAACATCTCCATCAGTCTCAGTTATTTACTTTTAAATAGCGGGGGGGAAGCTTATGCACTATGGTAGACATGGTTAACATTATACCTGCCAAAATTCAAGATTACTAATTTGTAACATCATTTTTGTAAGATGTGTAGAAATTACAACAACTAAAAATACTGCATTCACACTGCCATAGTATCACTTAGTCCAGTAGTGGGCAGTAGTATTGCTTCTCAGGCCTTCGGTGGTCCATACACTCTTCAACTAGGACATACAACTATAAAAAACATACTGCAGAGAAATATTAAATTAATATATAATAATCTTCTGTTTCACTTCGCTTTCATCACCTGTCTCTGCCCCTCCTCCCTTCTTTTCCCTTCCCCTGTCCTTGTCTCCTCTCCTTTCTAATTACCTACCCTTCTCTCCTCCCCAGTACTGGTCCTGCCTCTGGCTCTCAGCAGGGTCCAGAGGGGCCGCTGCTGCAGCTGTACCCCAACAGGGGTTCTGCTTTCTGGGGAGCTGTAGCCCTTGATGGTGAGACTCACTGAACCGATCAGGGACGTAGAGCAGAACGAGGTGACCTTCTGACCTCTGGTGAGGACTCCACATTGCATTCAACCATTCATCCATCCATCCATTCATTCATCCATAACTGAGGATGATACAGTAGTGAAAGGAATAATACAACTGGAGTAGAAACTTCAACCTTACACTAGAGGGCGCTGGTGGTTCAGCAGTGGCCTTTAACTACAGTACGTTGCATTTCTCTCAAATTCAACTTCTGAACCGGGGACTGCATTAACCCTGACAGAAAAAATGCTTAGATTAATGAAAAGTGCACTTCCTTTACCCATGTGTCCCCATTTTGTGCTCTCATTTTGTCTGCGCATATTCTTAGATCAACAGGCCTCTTTAACTTGTGCACTAAAGCTAAAGACATTAATGGAAGTCTTTGGAACAGCATGAAGATTATGTGACACTAAAGCTGCCCTTTCAGCCCTCTGAGCAACGCAGCTTACATCCAAACACATGTTTTTTCACAATAAAGATGACCACACCGAGTGAACATTTGGAGTTAATAAACCTTTATTTAAATCAAAGAGCAGATAAAAACATTAAGGCAAGACGAGCAGCGAGCATTGAGCCGCAAAATGGAACGTCAAAATTCAACTATACAAGGCTTGATCCGTTAATAAAAAAATAGAAAATTATAAAGCCAGAGAAAACAACTGAACACAATGTGAGAAAGAGCGTGTCTGATTGTGTCCGATCTGTTGTGTGTGTGCGTGCATGCAGGTGAGATGTGTGATTTAATCTGTGTGTGTGTGTGTGTGTGTGTGTGTGTGTGTGTGATCATGAGAGAACGGGTGCTTGCCAGATACATTTTCAGACATTTAAACAATAAAGTGCTGTTATTATTGACCTTCTGTGTATGAAGGGATTTACAGCCTAGAAATAAACTACAAGTCAAGCAGCTAGACTCTCTAGTACAGAGTTATTAACAGCCAACTAAAGTGCACGTGTCACCATGAGAAACAAAAATCAGAGATACATTATTTGCATTCTAGAAGCAACGTTGCAACCAGATTTTATTATTATTTTATTCTCTCTATAGTGCAAACAAAAGTTAAGTTTTTTTTCCTTTTTCCTCCTCCTTTCACACCAGCTGACACAAACCGATGTAAAAATGTTGCCATGCATTTCTTGAATGGATCTCTCTGATTTAGGTTTAGAGGTTCGTGACACATCTTGTTGTGTGTTTAGTATTTACAGTTGCAGTCAAATAAGCAGCACAGCGGGGTAGACAGCGGCACCAATTAGCATCTTGCAGAACTGCTGACGAGGTTTCTTTGTCTTTTCTACCAGAGGATTCGGGACATGAACAATGCAATGAATCAAGATTTCTAAAATGGTTTGAATGACTGCCACTGTTTATGAAAGAATGCAAACCTACTGTACGTATTGTGGTGCGAATGACTTCCAAGCTTTCCTAAATTGATATAGTAGGAAATGCTTTAGGTAGTGGTCTGAACTGAATAAAAGCTGAATTTAAATCCCTAGTGGTGCAGAATGTGAGAAGCAGCAGGACTTGGAGGCAATAACCAGGTAAGCTTTCCTGCCCCGAGCCGTCCAGCGTGGTTGTGAGAAGCTAATGCTAACTACACATGTAGGACTCATTTTATGGCCTCTGGGGCAGCCACAAGCATCCTCCAAGAAACAGAATTTCTGCTGGATAGATTCCTGTCTGCAGCCGAGGCACAAGAGAAACCACTGATGCCAAGAAGGTTCTGCTTCTGTCTGTGCCACTTCATGTTAAAGTGGAGGAAAGAGACTCATCAACATCCACCTGCCATCCAAAATACATGCCAAACTTTCTCCATTCCATCTTAGTTTTTGTATTTTAATCTGACATTTTGGGGAATACTCTTTTTCACTTTCTTGCTGAGGGTTAGGTGAGAGCACTGACACCACTCTCATGTCTGTACACTAAATATAAAACACTTAGCTTAGCACAAAGACTGGACACTTAGCCTGGCTCTGTTCTAAGGAAACACATTTTTTTCTTCTAGGTTTTGATGAAACAAACAAATATAACGCGTTCAAGCCCCATTATGGAACTTTTTTACCTTTTCTTGTTGTAATAGGATGTATGGTGCCGTGAGTAATGCTGAAGAATGCTGAAGGAGAGTGTCTTGCCAGAACCGGAGCTGTGGTTGCTGGCAATGTAACCGGGCTCAGCAGCTTCTCTGGCTAATGATTTGAGGTGAGATTGGTATTTGTTGTTTGCAATAAATTCTTACATAATGTTGCTTTAATGAGTGAGCTGTAGAGGTGCTGGTAGGGGGATTTTTGTTACCTTTGGAAAGAGCCAGGCTAGATTTTTTGTTTCACCAAAATGTCAAGTAAAAAAAAAAACCTTGTTCAAGGTCTTCGTATTTCCCTCCTGCTTTACACTTACTTTAACTTGCTAAACCACCAGTTACTAGTTCTGCTGTGTCCCTTCTCAGTCTGTCTGGAAAGATGGCCGCACTGTTCCTTTCTTTTTTAGTGGGCTCCTTCTCACTAAAGATTTAATATACGAAGAGACAACAAAGTCGGGTTGCCTTTTTAATCAACATTGAAGTGCAAAAGGATTAAATCCTTCTGTTCTACAACTTATCACTTGTGCTAAAAATTCTAAACTCATCTGGAATCACATGAACTATAACTTCTAATGTAACGTCCTTATGATGGCTTCCAGATGAATCAAAAGATTTGACTGATTTCTTGCAGTAAATACATTCATTTAGAAGCCTTTGTACACATAGATTCCTAAAGCTACAAAAAAAGCTGGACTACTCCGAGCATCTTTCTGTACAAAAAGATCAATGAGAAATGTCTGCACAAGAAACTTCTACAGTCTGTCAAAGCACACGAAGGATGAACAGAAAGTGCTGCAACTAACAAAAACTGGACAACATGATCTTAAACTGTTGTACTTGAGTGTGTGCATTTGGATTTCAGAGTGTGTAAGTGTGCAACTGCACAACATGTTTATATAATATTACTGCAATAAAAGTTATTATGGAAACTACAGTATGGATTTCATCAAACCTTTTTTTTTTTTAATGTTTGTCAGTCTTCTTATAGTCATCTTACCTCAAGCACAGTCACAAAAGAGGGGAGTTATAACTGTCTACATCTTTATTCTAAAGCACACAATCATCAGATTTTCACCTTCTTGTGTGTAGTTCTTGTAAATTCTGAGAATTTAAAGAGGGTGGTGAATTTACTAGAAGGGACTTTAAAAAGTCAAAAACTCTAATACTAACAGACACGATGAGATCAGTAAAGACAGTGTTGGAACATTTGACTTTCAAACTTGTGTTTGTGTAAGTGTGTGTGTGTTTATGTGTGCGTGTGTGTGGTGTAAGAAGCTGCCTGCAACAGGCAGCGTGGTGTCACTCCTGGAGAGCCCAACCTCCAGAAACTTCCTACACCTACACACCACAACACCTCATTAGTTAAACAGGACTACAACCTGATTGGCTGCTACAGCAGAGCGCTATCATCTCGTAATGTTTTCACCTCCTTTGTTCAAAGCTTGTCAGAATACGGACTCCGGCACATCCAGTCACTCCAACCATCTTTGATTTCCTCCTTTGAATATTTGCTCTTTAGCAAAAAAGCAACAAGCACAGACACATGAGTAAACTGTGTGTGTGTGTGTGTGTGTGTGTGTGTGTGTGTGTGTGTGTGTGTGAGAGAGAGTGTGTGTGTAAATCTATTTTTGCATCTGCAAGCCGGTCTGTCCGTGCTTCCGTTTGTGTGTTTGTGTGTTTATCTGTCGGTCTTCTTGGCCCACGCCAGGTCATCTGATCGCGGTTTCTGCCCCGTAAGTCGCTGGATCAATTGCTCCATCCGTCTCCAAAAGCCCAGCTGGTCCAGTGGATAGTTACACCAACCTGTGAGGAAACATGGAAAAAGAGAGGAGGGAAAAGTGGAAGAAGAGAGTTGGGAAGGTGGAGAAATGAGGGAGGGTTAGTGGGGAAGAAGTGAGAAAGCAAGACAAGAAATGAAAGGAACATACAGAAGTTGGGAGAATTTAAGGAATTTGAAGTATTATAGCTTCTAAATTCAAATGAAGTAAATCCATTAAATTGCGATATTATTAATAAAAACTCAACTCTTATTACTGATGTCTTTTTCGTAATACACCTAAACATACAAATATGAGAAATATATTATTCACACTCCCAGTTAGTGTCGCTCCAACTCAACCGCTTAACACTAAGCTTCTATATCAGCCTATGTTAGTTTAATGTTTTACGTGTTAAACTTGTGTTTTAAAGGACCAGTGTGTAAGATTTAGTGACATCTCGCGTCTCTAGCTATCAGAACGGGCTGTATGTGTATAGGAGAAACTACGGTGGCTGCTAAACTCAGGCCAGGCCCTATCAACAGCCAGTGTCTGACTTGTCCATTCTGGGCTACTGTAGAGACACGGCAGTTCAACATGGTGGACTCTGTAGATAAAAATACTCATTCTAAGACAACGAAAACACAATTCCTATTATCAGCTGATTATACAGGAATGAAAACATACCTATGAATAATAAATTCCATTTCTGCCAATAGATCCTCCTAAATGTTACACACAGGACCTTTAATACCTTCATTCATCACCTGTGATGTGAAAAGAGCAGATTTCCACACAGTCAGAGAAAGTAAAAGTGTGCTTCTTGCTCATAGTTCACTTATAAAATCCTAATTCACCACAGAGCGCTGTCAGCTGAACACTCAGTGACACTGGATGGCAGTTATGGAATGACACTGATGAACTGATGTTTTAGACGGATCAGTCCATAGTCTTTCAGCCCTTAAGGGATTTGTTTTGTCTGTGGCCCCGCCCACTGCTCCTGCAGCACCCACAGATTAAACACTGAATCATATTGACCCGTTTCCAACCCCTCCAACCTCCGTCTTTCCCCTCCTCTCTTTTCCCTCCTAACATCCTGGACTCCTTTGCCTACTGTCTATTTTTTCTCCTCTTTGCTTCACCTCAGATTTCACTCTTCTGTCCTTAACTTCCTCCTCCCTTTATTGTCTTCTTACTTTCCCTCCTTTATCCCCACCTGCACCCCGATCCTCAGTTCTTTTATCTACATCTAACCTCCTGTCTCAGTCTCATCATCATATTCAGACTACATTTCAGAGGGGTGGGGGGATGAGGGGATTCTCCCAGGAGATGTCCTTAGCCCCTACTAACACACGCACACACACACGCACACACATTTCCAGATCCTTCGTTCTTTTACAGTTTACAGAATTTTAATAGCCATGAATCGGCTGTATGTTTTAGGTAAATACATTAATGTATGAATGGCTGCAGGCCAAAGTACATTTACATGTACAAATGCATACACGCATGACTGTTCAATCTCTCCGTGCATATGTACCGCTCCAACACACACACACACACACGTGTCTATGCACAAGCGTCACTGCAGCCGAGCTGTCCCTTGACATTTGAGATAAAAGGGCTTTTTACTATTATTATCAAAGACACACACACACACACACACACACACACTTCATATGTAAAGCACTTGCACAAATGCAGTTTTACTTTTCAAGCACACAGCGCAGAAATAAAAAAGATGTCAGATGCATAAGCGTGCACACACACACACACACACACACACACACACACACACACACACAGGCAAGAAGCAAATAGAGACATCCACATGGGCTGTGTGTACTTAGGCTACCCTTGTCTGATGCTCATACACCACCACCAAAGATGTGTTTGCATAGGGTGCATGCTATAGCTGCAGGGGTGTGTGTGTGTGTGTGTATGTGCGTGTGCGTGTGTGTGTGTGTAGGTGTGTGTAGGTGTGTGTGTGTGTGTGTGTAGGTGTGTGTAGGTGTGTGTGTGTGTCCCTCCAGTGACCCTCTCTCTCTGTTAGAAGACAGTAGTAAAGCAGCCAGCGGTTTTGTTTGATTTCACTCTTTCCCTCCATCTCTCCTTCTTCCTCGCTCCGTCTCTCCTTCTTTCGCCGCACACTCTTCCTTTTTCCCCCCTCCAAATCCCTGTTTCCTTCCCACCCTGTCCTCACACTCCCGCTCTCTCCCCTCCCTCCCCTGCCTGTGAAGTCCTATTTGTTAGAACAGACAGCAGGTTAGCATTAAATATACATGGGGATTGTCAGCCGGTGGCGAACACAAAGGCAGCTAGGCGGGCCCCAGTGGAATCCAAGCCCGGCCCAGGCAGCCAGGCTGGGGGAGCGGGGGGCCGTCACCGTCCCCTGTGGGCCCCCGACCGCCACCAACCCACCTCCCACACACACACACAGGTTAGAAACCGAAGAGGAGGTCAAAAAGACTAGTACACACACAGATGCTCGAGTATGCAGATGTACACGAGTGTGCGCGTGTACAAACACACTTTCCCAGTGCCACCCCCCTCAACTCGCCTCACACACACATCTGTCGTCCGCAGGGGCGCAGGGTGACGTACAAGCTGTATCCCCCTTGTGTATCCTTCCTCTTTTCTCTGCCTCCCTCTCTCCCTCTCACCCAGATGCACACAGAATACTGAATGTGGATCTATTACGGAGGCCTCGTGTCTCTAAAGACACACACGCACGCAAACAGAACATTTTCTTTTAGTTATTTATAAGGAGCCGACAGACAGACAGACACTGCCGCCATTTTGTCCCAATCTGCCGAGAACTGTAAGTGAAAATATTCTGGAGTCATCAGCTTCAATTATGACGATCTAAAATGGCCGCCCACAGCCTCCACACTGATTAACATCTGACAACGTTCAAAAGTCACGTTACACACATTCAGTGTCTCGATGCTGTGATGGATGCAAAATTAAAGAAGGAATGTTTCTTTTTTGGGGAGGCTACCGAGACTCTCCCCTGTCATATACCAACAGCACTGATGATGGATGTGGTAGTAGCCCAAAAAACTCATTCTTAGACACTGAAAAGCAGCAACTGCAGTCATTTTGAACAATGGTTGCATGAACCGATAATAATAATATAAGTATGGGGCATCCTGATAGGCCCCCGTGTGCAAAGGCTGAGTCCTTACTGCAGTGGCTACGGGTTCGACTGCGTGTCATCCCCGCTCTGTCTCCCACCTTTCTTGTAACTCTTCAGCTATCACTATCAATTAAAGGCAATAAAAGCCTTAAAAAATATATTTTTAAAAAAGTATTATAAGTATGTAATACTTAAATAAGTATCCCTCAAATGTGATTTTATTCACTGGTTCCCAAACTATGGTTTGTGTACCACTGGTGGTACGCAAGCTGCCTGTAGTTCTATGTGGAGGAATCTCCATAAATTAATTAAGTAATTTCCACCAAAATAGCTCTGGTTATTGAACTGGTTCCATTCAGGATTCAACAACAATCAACAATAAATAATATATTCTTACTAGGAATAAACCTGCCTCCTGCGTGAACTGTCCCTAGCTGAATACAGGCGGGCTCCAGTACTGCCCTTTAACGTCAGTCATAATGGTTGTCCTTGGAGAGCCTGATATTTTCTGAGGTGGTACACGGTGTAAAAGGTTTGAGCAACACCGGCTTAACTAATCCAGCCTCACACGTTGTTATCAAGGTAAAATGATCCCTATCCTGTTGATATGTTTTTCTGAAAGCATTGATCTGTTTATCTTTGATTAACTTATGTTGAATAACAGTGTGCTCTTAATTTGAAATGAAGGCAATGTGAGTAGAGAGTTGAAGCCATCACTTCTATGAGTGGCTGAGTAATGATCACACTATGAATGATTGACTGGCATTAATGGCATGGCTAGACAGCACATTTTTACTGTGTATTTAAAGGTAGAATCTTAATCATGCATTGAAACCTGCCAAAATCCATGCTGGAGAACATATTGAATTATCAGCCTTAATTATATAATGCACTTACAATTTGTAAAACTCAGCCTATAATTAATTAATTACACAACACATAATAAAAAACTTTGTGCACATTATGACAAAATGTCCTTTTTCCATTGGTCTGAGGACAACAAAAAATATTAGAAGTTCTTCTTATTATTATTATTTCCCCACTTGCCCCGAATTCATTTATTTACTTTAATAATAATATTTATTATTTTTATACTGTTTTTGGTAGTTTGTACTTCCATTCATATTGTGTTTGACTTCACTCAAAAAACCTTAAACCCTACAGTACTAGCTATAGTACGTTTTACCACACATGTATCTGATGTAAGTGACAGAGACTCTGTTTACTAGTGCATGATAACACCAGGTGTTACCTGTAGTAATGCAGTAGTATGTCTCATGTGGCGAGACATGGTGGATGCGGTGGTGTTTCCGTGGCAACACCAGATGCCAATCCTGGAGCAGCGTGACCCAGCGCGGGAGGCCGAAGTAGGAGTGGCTCCACTTATGAATCTGATTGGTCAGCGTCACGAAAACCGCCAGAGCGAAGACGTAGCAGTCCCAGGGATAGGACTCCGCCAAGGCCTCTGAAAGGTGGAAAGATGGAGACAGTGAGAGAAAGAAAGAGTAAAGTTAATAGAATAATTGATCAAACTGTTTAGTGTAATGAAGAGGGCCAGCATGAAGGCGTAGTACTCCCACAGAGAGGATGCTGACAAGAACCTCGGAGAGATGAAGAGACCGAAGGGGAGGATGAAGAATGGGGGAAAGAAGAGAGAGACAGAGAGAGATGGGGAAGAGTGGCGGCAGGGGAGAGAGGAGGGGAGGACAAAGACAGAGAAGTAGGATGATGAGTAGAGAGGGTAAAACAGCCTGTGATGCAACGTAACATAAAATCTTGAAGACAGCGAGCAGTGACTGTCATCACAGACTGTTGGCTAAAATCAGAGAGGTCAATCAGAGATCAGTCCTCTGACATCCGTGTTCACCTCAGCATGTAAAGCAGGAAAATAAATCTAAGTAAGTCAGTCACGGGTGAGACACTGCACTCAGGTCCTGTGTGCCATCACAAAAGAAAATCAGTGCCTTCAAATTCTCTCTGTTCTTTATTGAGCAACTAAAAGTCCTATTGATGCCCCCCCGCCCAATTATCTTTTAATATTTAAACAACTTCTGAAATCCCACTCTCAAAGTCTAAAAGAACTACTCATCATTCCTACAAAGGCGCCCCGGGACTGGACAGAATGTGTGCCGTGTTTTTTATGTGACATTCAGATGAAGCTGGAGTTGGAGGCTAGGGAAGAGGGACAGCAGTGTACTGGATCTGTGAGGAAGTCACACAGAAACACCATTTGGAGTGAGTACTTCTTTCATTTTAGGCATTTTCTTTTGAAAAGGGATACAGGGCCAGGACTTTACCCAATAAGAGGTCATTCAACACTGTAAACCAAGTTGGATGAAAGGTTGATTCATTTTATTGGGCAAAGAAGGAGGACTGTTGAAAAATGTTCTATTCAGTATAATTTTAATTTGGTGAGGTGACTTTCAGATCATAACTGCCGTTTTACAGGAAATAAAAGAAATGAGATTCTGAAAAAAGAAGTAAATTATATTTTTGTTCTCAATTTATGTGTACAATTTTGGAAATTCTGCCTTGTCATTACCTCAGCCTAAGAGCAAAGGCCTGAGTTTGAGACCTATTATACAAGAAAATTTCTAATGTCTTCTGTTTTCACACACTGATGATGAAGTTGGAAATGCTGCAAAGATGGTGGGAGGGTTGATTAAAATTGCATTAAATATGAAGATGTTGTGTTGAAGGTGGCTGTCACTGGAATATGTTGAGTTAAAAATAATCACCAACCAAAAAAGTCATTCATGATCATCCAACCCCCTTCAGAAAATGACACAATTTATGATCACAGAAATCCTGAAAGAGAGTACGACCACAGCAAAAATGAATTCTTATGGGTGATTTAATCCTGGAAGGATCAGTTCATTTTTAATTTGAAACCAACCACAGTGTATTACAGTCAGTGCTCAATACAAAACCCACAGTTCAGCTAACAATGAATCCTGAGTCCTTATCTCAACATAAAGGCTTGAGTTTTCTCCCGTCACGCTGCTGTCGGCTCCAGGGAATGGTCAGGCTGGGGGCCAGGCAGCTTGATGGTGGCCTCTGAGTAATTAGAGGACAGACTTCCAATTCTGTAGAACAGGTGAACTATGAAATACAGACTTTCTGACTTATTCCCAGGGGTTGGCTGGCTAATCGACCATCACTCTAGGATGACTAGGCTTCTTCCACTAGTGAGTAAATGCGCCTTTTTGGTTTAAAATGCCAGCATTGCTGGTTGATGACTCTTTGAATCCTTATACACCATTCCAACAGACTATTGCATGCAACCATCTCTCAACACTTTATGTCCAAGTAAAATGATGTTGAGACTTCAAAACACCAAGGACAAGATAAAACCCCTCGTCATCGCACCACACTATCTGTTTGTTGCCCCAGGACTCAGGACAGTGTGTGACTGTGTTAGAGTGACTTTCAAATAGGGATAAAGGGACACTGCCTCTTAGATTTTTCAGTCCATCTATAGATAATGGAAAAATCTCTTATTTTGTTTCGTGTGAGAGGACATCTGGCACTCAAGGCTGAAGGTAAAGACCGTGCACGGCTGGAGTCTGGGACTCTAACCTCAACCTCCCCGCCAAAGAAGGGTAGATAAGTGAGGGCCTGACGCCTGAAGACCAGGGCTCGCTCACCGCTGCGATCTAGAGAACCAGGTGGCTTGACAACACAGTTTTTCTGAGAAGTACTTTCAGAGGGGAAAACGATTCTCGCCTTTATTGAGAGTGAGCATCAATACTGCGGCTCCAGTGCGGGAAAGGCATCACAGACCCCAGATTTAAAAACCCCTATACACTGAGATATACTGAGAGATCTACCTGGCAGTTAATCAGCATTGTGTTGACTCGTTTAATAAGGACATGAACGTAACACAGTTCAGACTGCAGCTTTAAGTACATTTTGATAATGTCACTTACATATTTTTCCTTAAGTAACATTTGGAATGCAGGACTTTTACTTGTAATGGATATTGGAAAGGACCCGAATAGTTCACCCACCATTCACCATTTATTGCATCGTTAAACAAACTGACATTGTATGTGCCTTCTTGCTACTTCTCACCTACATTGAATTAGCTCACAGTGCACCTGGCTATACTGAAAGGGTCAAGATAATCTTTAAACACCACTTTCTCTTAAAACATTGGAAAAATGTGAACTAGAAGCCTTTTTGTCAGATGGGTGTAAGTATTTAATTAGCTTTCTAAATGCAGATTGAAGCCTAAAGCTATAAAAAAGAGCACTTGAAGAAGAGCTTTCAGGTAAGTGGTTAATGTTCATCGTGTCAGTGTTGATATGAGCTGACAGCTGACAAACATGTCAGGACTCATGCATAGGAGCAGCTGAGTGCAACAATTCTCCAAATAACTAAAACGTGGCTACTGTTGTAGTCATTTGAAAAACATTTGGATTCAGATGTAGCTGAACCATCGACACCTGCTTCGTCAAAGTCTGGTTTACGTCCGTCCGTCTAAGACCAAACAGAAGTCTACCTCCTGTCTGTCACACCGCTAACTCTCGTTATTCACTCGAGTCTTTCTGTCGGTATGACTTACAGCTGTCCTCTCTCTGTCTACCTCCATCCCTTGTTCCCTCTCTTTGGTTAAAACGCTGATCTTTTGACCCCAGTTCAAGTGCAGACATGACAGCTGGAGATGTCACCTCACGGTTTTCAGCTTTTCCAATCTACCCCTGTCTCTGTCTTTGTCTGGTGACCGCTTGACACTGTGAGGAGCTTGACACGACAGGTTTAGATGTCATCTTAGCGCTACATGACCCCTCCGCCACCCCCACCCCCCACGCTCTCTCACTCCCTCTCTTCTCCGTGCACTCTCACCCTCTGTCTCAAACTCTTAGCGGTGACCTCTTAAGGTGCAGACATGACAGGTGTAGATGTCGCTGCGTCTCTCCCTGTCTCTGTCTCATGACCTCTTGACTCCCTGCGGTGTGTGACATGACAGGTGTGGATGTCACCTACAAGTGAACCTCACTACTGCTCTCTCCCCTCTAATCTTCTCTTCCTAACCCCCCATTCGCTGGTCCCTGCTGCGGATGAGCAGCTGACCTTTGCGAGTTTCCCCTTTGCTCCTCTTTTCCCGGCCCCTCGATGTATAAAAGTTCCTAACATTCTTTGCATTTGTATCAGAATTCTCAGTCTGGATTATTATCACCTTCCTTAAGGTCACGGAGAATTCCACTTTTATCTCTGATTTCCCTAAATGTTCATGTGCTTGACTTCTGTAGTGACGGGACAATAAGTAGCATAACTACACGCTGTGTTGCTATGAGGCTGAACTTGCACATGCATATTAACGTGCTCACAATGACTGCTGGCATTAACGTTGCTAACATTTGCTAATCAGCACACAAAGACCCGCTGAGTTAAAGCAGTAAATACACTGAATAAAGCAGTTTGTCCGACTCTGTACGGCAGACAGACGACGTCCCGGAGGGGCTGCGAGCCGAGCTGCTGCTAACGTTAGCTCAGCTTGTTTCTCTGATAACTTAAGATCCAGACGTCCGATGACTAAAATCCTTCATCCGGTTTAAATATATATAAAAGACCAAGATCTAATGTTGTTTGAAACTGGATAAAAAGTCAATTTATGACCGAAAACCAACCTGATGCATGTTTGCACATTGTTTGAACATTGTTGGAAACATTTGGGATAATGTAAGTACACGACTCAACAAAATATATAACATAGGGATCACCAAATTCTATAACATCTGGAAACCATGAACCCCTGTACAAAATGTCACTGCAATCCTTCAAATGGTTGCATTCATTATAATACAGTTTTAGAATTGTTACAAGACAAAGCCCTGCTTTAATTACATAGTGGCATCCCAGGAAGGAGAGTGCAATATACTGAAATCACAATTATAATTCTATTTAAATTCCTATCAGCATTTGGAATTTAATATGTTTCTTTCCACTGTACCAAGGTATCACTTGGTTGAAAAGGTGGGATAGTGGCCTATTTGCATCTTTTTCATCCTTTTTGTTTGCAGACTACCCCAGGTATTCGTGACAGCAGACTCCAGCTCCACACCATAAACACCGCAGCTAACCCTAGATAACTGATGTCAACCCCCTCTCTCCTCTCTCTCTCTCTTTACCCGACCTTTTGGCTCGAGCTGAAGTGCAGACATGACAGGTGGATATGTCACCTCCTCAATAACAGGTTGTTCTGTTTCCCCTGCTGATCTTCCTCCTCCAGTCCCTCCCTTGCTGCCCTGCACTCGTAAGGTCAGTGCACATGATTACCACTGAAACTGCCCCATACTTACCATGATCAGTGGCCACTCTTCAGCCAGAGTCTGAGCTACCGCTGGCATCCTGCAACACTAAGTCCCTGCTACACTTTGTTTGTTAGTCCCGATAAAGTTGATCTTCTGAAGTCCTTACAGTCTCATTACAGCTTTATGCAATGTGACTGTAAGCATGTTGGCAGTGTCGTGCACTCCCACTGTTTTGTTGGGACATCTGTTCAGAGGGGGTGAGATCTCGGGGGATGGCCTCTGCAGGTGTTACGCCCCCCAAGCTTCTCTCTCACAGGTGATAAAAATGTGAACGTGAAAATTCTTCATTCAGAGCACAAAATACCAGAGTTCTGGCAACCACACTTTCATAGTCACAACAGCAGGTTTCACTCCTCTTCCTCCTCTCTTCCTTCTGAAACCTTTGTGTCATATCTGCCATGTGTGTATTTCCAGTTATTTTACATGCATGTTTTTAAGTGGTGTTCGTGCTTTCTGTGCTACACAGCCAATGGAGGAAATTCAGTTCTGTGTGTGTGCTACCTGGTGTGTATGTGAGGAACTTGTAGGCCATGTGAGCCAGTGGTAGGATGGGGATCATACAGTTGTCGCCATTGGTTTCAATGAAGTCGTGGCGAGTGATGGCGGTTGGATCGATGTGGTGCTCCCTGAATGGACGGATAAATGCCTGCAGAGAGAGAGAGAGAGAGAGAGAGAGAGAGAGAGAGAGAAAGGAATTCTTAATATTCTTATGTGAAATACTTAAATCTTGAATCAATCATGAGACCAGAGCTGTTGGTCTACTGAAACAACATCTAATCAGTTCTGCAACAGTGACGATAGACTATACTATATTCTGAAATCATTTTACAGGTGTAAAAGAGAGATGTCTTATACCTAGGCTTGGGGAGTAATGGATTACATGTAGTTAAAATTGCAATTTTAAAAGATTACAGTTAGATTTAGTAAAAATTGGGATTATTAGCAGGATTACAATTTTAAAATACATCAGTATTTCTTTTAAAAAATGAGAAGAGACACATTTTTTATGCTAATAGCAAAATGCAAATGCTTTTTTTCCATCTTTTTCCTAAAGTTTGCATTGTTGTGTTGTTTTATAGAATAAACTTACATCAATACTTCTTATTGACATTTTTTCTTTTGCCTTTATTTGCATATTTGGTGTTAAGAAGTAACAGAAAGTAATCCACTTGCATTACTTTAATGTTGTGATACTTGGATTAAGTTACTGACTACATTTTTTAACAGGTAATTAGTATCAGATTAAAATGTTAAAGTAACGCACCCGACCCTGCTTATACCTGCTTGAAATGACTAAAATCAACCATAAAACGATTTAAACCTAAAGACCAAATACAATCATTTAGGAAACATCAAATTCTGTTTCTGTCCTTTCAGTTAAACACAAACACATCCAGTGTTCACTAAATGGAACAAAAACAGGGAGAATTTTCTTCTTAATTTACATTCACTTTAAATCGGAACACAAAACAGACACTGGAAACCATTGTTTACAGTCTTTACACAAATGCAGATCAAATGCACACACACTCACACTCACAGACACGCACACACACCACGACTCAGCGGTGTCGAGCATCATGCGCAACCCCAAAGCTCATATCCAGCATCCTAATAAACCACAGAACAGCAGTTGGCTTGCGGAAACACACTCATAAGCATAAATGACCCATGGACGCCCCACACAAACTCAAAAATGGAAGCTTCAAAAACACACACACACACACACACACACACACACTTGCAAACCCCACCTGCACTGTGCAGAGGCAGACACCTGTCTGTGAGAGCATGGGGGTCTCAAATGAAAGACTGAATCTGAATCTCAGAAGCACAAAAGAGGACAAAAAGAAACATGGACACACACACACACACACACACACACACACACACACACACACACACACATAGGATAAAGGTAATTTATTTCCCTCTGTGGAAAAAGCAAAAAAAGGAAGGTTTGCATCTGTAGTTCCACAGTGTGCATCCCTGCATGTGTGTGTGTGAGTGTGTGCAGCCGTGGAAGCATCAGCATGAAAACTCATTATTGTCGTGTTAGCTGCTCTAACCAATCACACACGCCTATCAGCGAACAGAGTTGGTAGGTGCCACTGCAAACACAGAAACTATCTGTTGATATCTGCACAATTATGTACCCATCTCTGCTCTAGCCTGCCTCTCCCCCACCTCTCCTCTCCCGTCACCCCCCTCCTCTCGCCGCAGCCCTCAGCCAGATGAAAGACCGGCTAAGCTGCGGAGGTCGTGCCGAGCGGGGCGGCATCAGCGTTCCCAGTTAACGGTGCACCACCGGTCGCTACGTGTCCTCTAATCCCACACCGTTTAACGGCCCACCTCGCACGACGTCCATTAATCACCAGCTCACATCGGCCATCGCCCCAGCAACCAACGCTGTCCCACTGCTTGAACGGACACGCCCTCACACCCCCTTCTTTTTTTTGTCCTCCCGACCTTTATACTGTATTTTCATCTCACTTTCTGTTGGTTTCTCTTTTCTCTCTTTCTCTCTTTTGCCAAAAAATTCTATCTATGCTTTCTTCTTACTATCACTCCCCTTTTTCCTATCTGGCCTTTAAGTAGAAAGTCATTCAATTAACTCTATTTGGATGCTCAGCCTCACTAGAGAGTCGCCTTAAAAGAGACATGTTTGTTAGAGATGTAAGAAAAAAGACTGACATAAGGAGAAACGTATTGATGCCACTAAAAGATTGCAGAACAGAAGCAGTAAAAGAAGAAGCATCTTCAAACATATATCCCTAAACTGTAAGCACATCTGGCAAATTTCAATGTGAATCGAGCATCATTGGGAACTAATGAGCGTGACTTTGTCCTCAAAGTGGCGTCATTAGAGGACTGTTAAATCCTTGTTGAGTCAATTAAAGCTCAACGACATGATGACGACAAAAAAACAGCACGGCCCAAAGCCTCACCAAGGAATACTAAACACTGCTGGGAGAATGTAGAGCACTTTTTGAGATAGTGTTGCAGTTTAAGTACTGGGGAGTGAAAAGGCTTTTAAGGATTCAAATCAAAGAAAATCACTGATGTACAATTTCCAAAGAAGACCATTAGCAGAGTGCAGTATGGGAGAATTTGACATGCAACGTTCAGGTAGAGCAACATCCCCTTGCAATTAAAGGATGTGTGGTGACACATAAGGCATTTTATGAATATTGTGATTGTGTTTTCACAATGTGCTCTCTTATAACAAACTGGATTTTCATTTGGACTTTACACAGCAGAGTACAGTGTACAAAGTAGTAATAAATACAGCCATAGTCAATTCACTGGTTAGTCGATCAACAGAAAAAATGCATTATTTCATAATCAATTACTTGTTTCAGACATTTTCCAGTTCAAGCTACTCAGGTGAGATTTTTTTTTTTTTGCTGCTTTTCTTTGTCATACATAAATGTAAACTTAATGTCCGAGTGTTGGACTTTTGGTTGAACAAATCAAGACACATGTCAACTTGGGCTCAGATAGGCTGAGATGGGCATTTTTTCCACAATTTTTTGTTGTCTCATTGACTAAACAATTGAAAAAATAATCAGCATTTTCATCAATAAAAAAAATAATTGTTTGTTGCAGCAGACATGGTGAATATGCTGTAATTGTTTCAGATTTTCAATGACTTGTTCAAGAGAATAAGGATGGACAGACAATATAGGCAATGTCTGATATTTTGTCTAACTAGAATGTTTCCATTTACTACCTTTATGCAAATATATTCCAGAGAACATAAGAAGATTACATAATTAACAGAGAATACGTAACTCTAATACATCATAGAATTTATCTGCTGCTTCCAAGTTAATGTGGTATTTGTGGGCTTTTTTACATTGGTGTTTTTATCAGGCGCTACAGTGATACAGAGCAGGGTGTCATCTGTCTAGAATCAAACCAGGGATGTTAAGATTCCTCTGACACAATATATTGATGTTCATTTTGGGGGCTTTTATTGATGAAGTAGAGGTTAATATAATATTGAGTGACAGCATGAATACTTCAAAAGAAATACGTCAACATCAAGCTGTATTTGAACTTTGTTTGCCTTTATTAGATAGCAACTGGCAAAAATCAAACCTGGGGGGTGCTGGTTACATTGCATGTGTCTTCAACCTTGACAGAGCTTAAAAGACAACTGTTATGTTTTTTGCAATATTGTGTTTGGTTTTTCCATGGCCTATTATTCCATTAACATGTTTTTACGTGTAAATCAAAAATGTTCTTAAAATCTGAAGATATTAATTGTCCTTTCTGTGACCTTGACAGCAAAAATGTTCGCTCAGATTCTGCAGACCATACTGACCATACTGAGCCAATGACTTTGACAGATAGAAAATGCAGTTTCCATTGGCAGCTGTTACTGCTCCATGGCCTTCACTGCTGGAAATATTATTTATGATACTATGACAGCAGACTCTTATGACTGTTAAGTATCCCCTTATGACTACCGTATGGCAGGAGTCCATATGTGCAGTGTCTGCATTAATGCTTCTACATGGTATCTGCAGGACAACCTGAGCTACGTCTTTAAAGAGTTCTTAAAAAATAACAAAAATAAGTACAAACACATACACAGCACATACATACACAAACAACATAAAACAAGAAAATGACCGAACAAACAAATAACAAAGAGTGACACTGGCTTCAAATACTTGGTTTAGCTTTATAACTGCAACCACTATTAGCCTCAGGTGTTCTCCATCACGCTCGTCTTTGATATTCAAACTAACCTTAACTGGGAGCACAGGCCTGCTTTATTCTCAGTCTCACTGACACAAAAACACAACTGAGGTATATGCTTTGGTTATTTTTTGTCTCCACACACACACATTTTCTCCCTTGCCTATTGTCATCCCTCTGTTCTATGCAAAGGTCTGTGCTTCTCTTCCATTTAAAGTCTTTATTAGAAGCCTCCTACAGTGTCAAACACACCATGCAAATCTGTGACTGCTGCAGTGCCTTTGGTCCCAGCAACTACCCCGAAAACCCCAATAAATGCCACATCATAAATAAACATCAATCCACTTAGTACCTTCAGCGAACACAGAAAGTAATATAAGGCTTGAAAAATCTTTTGAATCTGCTAATGGTACAGTGCCTGTATACAAGTGTGTTGTTATCTAAATAACTACATACATTAGGTTAGCTCACAGTTCCACATACAGTAATGTGACACAATAATAGAATAACAGCCACATTAAAGCCCAATCAACACCAAATCAAAACAGAATGACATCAACCACTGGAATTCATCACACTAAAGAGATCAGTCAATATGCTAGAGCCACTTAGTGTCAGACTGTAATGCAGCGAAGGGAATTAAATCAAAGCTGTGATGACAAAACCGCAACAGTCTGCTGTGTGGAAATATTAACTCTCCATAAATATAATATCTGATCCTAATTGATTATGGTTTATCACCAAAGGGTCATGTTGACCATGCAAGAGAAAGAAACCAAAACTTGATTTTTCGCCTTTTTTCCTACTGACCTTCTTTTACCACCAATGTCAAATTACAGCCAGCACTCTCCAGGATTGGGTTCAACTCTTCATAAATCCATTAATAGGTTTAATGGTGAAGTTCTTCCTAAATTCTGGGAAACTAATTTTAAAAAGGTGAATTATGAAAATGTTCTTTCTCCATCAAAACTTAAGAAGATATCTTGGCAAATAAAGACTTAAATATTAGAAATGGGCTGCTTATGAAGATCTGAAGCACATCCAATCAAAAGCAATTAACTAGTTATGTGAACAGGAAGTCACTCTAGCATGACAAGTTGTAACATAACTTTAAAAAGATGTTCCTTTTTCAGGCAAAAAGATGTATTAAAGTTAACAGTCAATCATTTGTAAATGTGGCTATGAATCTATCTAGCTGACATCATTTAGTAATTTAGTCCAGTGGTACGCAACCTGGGTGTCCCCTGGGTGACCCCTTCTATGGGTTGCCGAAGCTTTAGGGGGGTCACAATGCCTTTTTGATTTGATTTTGTTTATAAGTATATGATTTAAAAAAAATATGTATATATATATATATATATATATAAAACCTGTAAAATAGACAGAATTGTATAAAAACCTCCCTAAACAGGAAATGAGCTGCTCAAAATTCATCCAAGTCTAGTCTTAGTCTGAAGTTGTTAGCATAATGTTTTGTAGTTTGAATTTTCTTGTGTTCATTTTGTAAAATTAAATTTTTTCCAGTTTACATCATTATTAAACAGCATTATATTTGAAGTGTTGACACGTAGGACGTGACGTATATATATTACCTCTTTTAGTCTCCACTCTGAGCGGGTCATGTATTAGCAAGCTAAGATTAGTTACTTGGTTCAGTTAGTCATGTAACAGCTATACCTGGCAGTTGGTGTAAATATATATATTATTCAATAACTCATGTATGAACTAGTTTGTGTGGTGCTACTTTTAATATAGTGATCAGTATATATTAAACACTTACCCTTCTTACCAGTTCATAATGGTAAAACTGAACTGGATTCTGTAAATAGATACTAATGAGTGTGACATGTTTGACTAAAACAATAAATGTATACACAAGTACTGCTTTGCTATAATAATGACAATACACGCATTGTCTAAAATACTATTACTACTTGCATGATAATATAGTACATATGGACATAACTCACTTTAATAATAAGTGTCTTTTACTGCAGGCTGTAGTAATGTGAGGTTCAGCTTTAATTGAATAGTGAATAATATAACATTATTAATCATACTTTGATAATATATGGGTTCAGCAAAACTAATAACTATCGTTCTAATTAGGATGCTTCGGGTCTCAAAACACACACCAGCTTCAGCATTTCCACTAATTAATTATCAATGAATATTTCAGAAGAAGTATGAGAGTAAAACACACACTCTGTACTCTCGTCTCATCAATCAAAACTAAAGTTCACATGAACCAATCTGCAAGCTGCACCTGATCACACTGATTTTAATTGGCTGAAATGAGGATAACCTTTACTCTAATTGGCTGTGGGAAATGTGGCAGAAATGTGTGTGTGTGTGCGTTAATGCAGGTGACTTGTTTTAATGTGAGGATTAAGTGTATGTGCATCCATCTTTATTCATGCCTAAATACATACTGTATGTGCATACATGTCCCCCGGCACTGTACCGTGACAGGTTGTGGAGGTTCACGGTGAGTTCATTCACAGCATGTGTCAGTGTGTATGTGTGTATGCATTTCTGTGGGTGTGTGTGTAATGTGTGTATTGGGGACCATGGACATTATTGTCTACAGGGAGATCCCTCTGTGAGACAGTGACATTTAGTTTCCAGGTCACTATGGCAGTCCTGAGGCTCGGGGGAATAAGGTGCAACCACCATGCTGCCATGGTGACACAGCCTCAGCAGAGAAGGGACACTGAGCTGGAGGTACGGTAAAGTATCTTCTCTGTGGTCCATAATTCACTGGGTCACAGAAGTGTTTGCTATATTCTTATATGTTCTCCAAAGGGCTTGACTTGTAGGTTGACCACAATAGCAAAATAATCCCATTTCACTGCTAGATACCATCACTGTTTATATGAAATATTAAAGCATAAACTGATGTCCTCAAGCAAGTGACTTAAAGACACAGCGAAGAAAGCTAGAAGTGAAAGTGTCAAATACAATCTGATGGAGAAATGCATGTATACCGAACTATAAAGTGTTAAAACAAACGGGATTGTTAAAGGAATACTTTAACGTTTTGGGAAATACTGTACACTCATTTGCTTTTTTGAGAGTTAGATGAGAAGATTGATACATCTCATGTCTGTATGGTAAATATGAAGGTACTGAGAGCTGCCACTTAGCTTAGTACAAAGACTCATACTCTTTCAAACAATCACCAACTCACTTAAACTTAATTCACTGAGTTAGATGTTAAAATATTTGCAAAAGGCGCTATAATGGCAGCAGCAACATAAGCTAATCATTGGGAACAAAGGCACCCATCAAAGTTAGTCCAATAAAAGCCAACTGTTATTTGCACAGATAGTTATTCTAAGTGTGACAACATTATGGAAAGGATCCCTACGGAGATAAAGAGAAAGGGAAAAGGCGTAATATCGCTATCACTCGCCACCAGACTCCATAGACAAAAACAATCATTTCTATAAATATTGTGGAGAGATGGGTAATTTTTGTGTGATGGCTTCCAAATTTGTTTGCATGTCACAGCCATATGATTTACAAAGGTAAATGTTTATTGTTAAAGGTCCAGTGAGTGGGATGTAGCGGCATCTAGTGGTAAAGTAGCAGACTGCAAACAACCGATAACTCATCCACTCAGCCTCCCCTTCTAAGCATGTACCTGCTGAGTGATCTGGCTGTAACTGATGAGGATATATTTGGTGGAATAATCCTGACCCAGGGAACTACATCCCAGAAGAGAGAGACAACAATGATTTTTACATTGGCCCAAATATGTGTACCTCATTTCTAGGACTGCCATTGATTGTTCAGTTTAGCTGTGGCCGATTTCAGAGGAAAGTGAGGAAAATGACACTTTACTTTGTCAAGTAGTTGATTAATGGCACATTACTAGAAGCTGTTTAATAAAGCCTGGCAGCCTGTATGTGTGTGTGTACTGTGTGTGCTCACCTTGCCAATAACAGGGATGTCCACAGATCCCCAGGTATCCGCCCCCCAGTGAACCATCCCCGATGCAAAGTCTGCTGTCACTATTCCTAGCACTGGCACAAACACAGAAACAGACACAATAAAAAAGTAGAAAAAACATATGTTGTTATTAGATTCACAACCAAACACCCAAACACAATTTTACAATAGTGTTACGAAAACCTCATGTGGACTGGACTGCACTGGCATGTTTAGAAAAATGATTTCCAACATTTATTAAAAATGATTTATATCAATAACTCTCATAGTTTGAAAGGTGGTTTTAAAGCGGGGAAGCCTCAGTTTCTCTACGAACACGGTATTTCTCACCGATGCCGAGGATGATCTTGTAGATGTGAACGGTGGAGAAGTGCAGGAGAAGGAAGGAGAAGTTGATGATGAAAAGGAAGAGGCACAGAATCACACACACCCACTCCTGGAGCCGCTTTCCTGAGGGAGAACACACAAAGAAACACATTTTACTTTAGCATTATAAAAATACAGGTTATAATGTGAGTGCTGGTCATTCTTGAGGAGACGAAGCTGAAGACGAGAGTGGAAACGATAAGAAGTTGAGGGTGTTGGGCTCGGATGTGTTGTATTAATGACCTGGGTGAGGTCCCTGCAACCACTGGGAGAACAACTCACCCCTTACCGGGGGTCAAAGGACCATTCAACCACAATGACTGTGTGTGTGTGTGTGTCCAGGGTGTTAATATGTAATCAGTCAGATGAAGACAAGTGTAGTCCAGGCTGCGGGGTCACGACCTCTCAAATGTGAAACACCAACGCTGACGCAGCACCAAACCCACATGGACACACACACACACAGGCTGTTTCAGGTGGGAGGTAGGTCTCTGCAGAGACAGGGCCAAACTCATAGGTCAGCAGCATTAACGAAAGGACAGAGGGAGAGGGGCCAACTAAAACTACTCATAATCTAAACTCGCAGATCAGCAATATTATGAGAGAGAGAGAGAGAGAGAGAGAGAGAGAGAGAGACGGGAGGGTCAATTCAAAACCCTTCAGCCGCGCAGCCCTGAAGATTAGACACACTGAATTATTGAAAACACACATATCACTCATCCATAACTCATCTAATGTAGCAGAGCACCACCTCCTACTGCTGGCTCTTCTATTACTTTTACGATGTCTTCCATGAGTTTACAGTTCTTTCCTTGCTTGCTTCTTTTCTTTGTTCTGACGTGTCTGACCTGCCAGCCTAAGCAGGGAATTTGATCGCAGAATATCTCACACCAGAAATAGAAATAAACTATAAAAACGTACAATTATAAACTACCTCTGATCTGTTTTTAAGTCACTTTCTTTTGTTCTTTGTCTCCCACCCCCCTCCTCTCTGTCACTCCTCCTAACCCTTCTTTCTTTTCCAGTCTAATGTGCTTTTAAAACTTTAATGTGTTCAGATCCTAATGTATCACACAGCATTAGCAGCCTATAAGATATTCATGACAGTTTTTTTTAATAAAGCACACAGGCCTGTGAGTGTGTGCGCCTATAGACCTGTGTGACTATGAATATGCTATCAGCCTCTCATAAGGTATGGACTGAAGTGGTCATGGGAGATTTAAAATATGTGATTATGGATATTTTACGAATCATCAAATGTGACCCTTCACCTTCTAAAAATAGATGGTATCAAAGTTGTGCAGAGACAGATGGCTAATTCAAGTGCAGGCCGAAGTTCAGCTTCTTAACGAGTTTGACTGCTACGAGTAAGATTTGCAAAACTATTGTTTCAACTCTTTATTGTAATTGGACAAGGAAAATGATCAGGTATTGTTGTTTAAGACTTAGTTTGGGTGCTGTGATGCCTTTCACCGGTTCGCTTAGCATAAAGACTGGAAACAGTTGGAAACAGCTAGCCAGCTCGGTAAAAATAATAGAGAGAGAACAAAATCCACCGAACAGCACCAATAAAGATCATCAGTAAAGGCAAAAACAGAAATTTGTAATAAAAATGTAATAAGACATGACAAGAGACACTAGGCCGTTTTCCATAGTTGTTATATTATAGCTTCAGTTTCACTTTACAAAAGAAAGAAAATATGCATTGTTTTGCACAGTTTATACACAACCTCAGAAATAGAAAGATGATTTAATTTGGTGAAGAAAAAATAGGAGAAAATATATTAGATTGTTCGATTTTTGCCTGAGAAATAATCTTTTTCAGCCATAATTTGTTTAAAAAGAAGAAAGAATGAACCCAGTTTCATGAACTATATGGAATCGTGATTTGAGTGTATCGTTACATCCCTTCTATTTATTGTAACTAGACATGGCACATTATCAAGTATTTTTGTTTAAGACTTAGTTTGGGTGCTGTGATGTGTTTCTTAGTGTCTCTGCCGGCTTCTGGACAACCGCAGAGCCAACACCTCAGTTATTGTTTGTTTGTTTCATTAAACAAAATCAATGAGAGCCATTCTAGTTTCCAGTCTTTATGCTAAGCTAACTGGCGGCTGGCTGTAACTTCATACTCAACTGACAGACATGAGATTGATATCTTCTCCTCTAATTCTCCATAAAAAAGAAAATAAGCGTATTTTCCCAAATGATATCAAACTCAACTCTAACACAGACTGTATATAAAAGCTATATATAGCTCATGTGTCATCAGACAGCGAGATGAGAACATCTGTCAGTAATGCAGAGAATGAACTCGTGTGCCTGAGCAGATAAAGCTACAGATTAAAGCAGAGAAAATGTCAGAAATGACCTTGATTCAGAGAAACTGAAAGGAGACAAAAATATTTTGTCTGGACAGTTCAGCCAAGTTACTAATCCTTACATAGCTAAATAACCAGTATTGACCAGTATGAAGCCTATTTGAAGCTTTCCAGTGATGGTACTGCTTGGATTCAAAATCATTTTCTTTGTACAGTGACATAATTTTAAAAGTCATCTACAGCATGCATGACACAGTCAATTAGACATTTGCAGGATTAAAAGAAAGTTGGTGTGATCTAAAAAGGGAGGGATTGTTCCTCTGCGACTGTGGCACACTGACGTAGCTGGTTGCTGAAAACAAAAGCCACAGAAAAGTTAGTTCCTGGAAAACGACCTGCTCACCCTGAGCTGCACAAACTGAAACAGGAGAACTACACTCCCATAGACACCCACCGCTACAGACGTCAGACAATGGACGCTAGCTGAAGGCCCCATTCAGAGAAATGCAAGCAACGCTGAGAACGCAGAGAGCGTGGCAAAAGAGGGAGAGAGGAGACACGATGGACAGCAATAAAATACAAAAACATATCTGCACAGCAACGCTCCTCCACCTGTGGAAACACTACGAGTTTATCCTCAGCAACTCTCTGTCTCTGCAGTCAGCTCTGGCCTGAAGCAGTCCCACTGAATTACGATGCGTTAACTGTACAGAATTACACTACTGTGTGTTCTGTTCATGTAGCACAGGTCCAGTGAAACTTCATGAGTTTACATCACCAGGTAATGTGTTTCCATCCACACAGCCTCAGTCCATGCTGAGGTTAAGTAGAGCGCAGTTAGCTCTGTTGTCTCCGAGCTTCATGTGACACCATTTTCTCCACTCTGCCCCAAGGTGTACACACACTAACACACACACACACACACACACACACACACACACACACACACACACACACACACCTCAAGGGATCAGTACACCAAAATTCACTCTCTCACTGCGTCAGCACCCACGCACACACTCAACAGCAACATCCATGTGAGCGCTCACACAGACAGAATGATGCTCCAACTGATGGATTTCCTAACACATTCTCACATCTCTCTCTATTACACACACACACATCTTCTGACACATACACAAATTCAGACACTCCATCTCCGTCACGTACACACACACAAACACACACACACACACACACACACACACACACACACACACACACACACACACACACACACACACACACACACACACACACACACACACACACACACACACACACACACACACGGTGCAGGGCCGTGGAGCAGTGGGGCGGCTGTCAGGTGATGTGCGTCAGTCCTTGGATCCTCCGGCTCCCTGGTGAGGGGAAGGAAACTAGGACAGGCCTCCGCAGAGCGCACACACACTCTCAAACACACACACACACACACACACACACACACACACACACACACACACACACACACACACACACACACACACACACACACATAAGCCCTTGTCCCTCAGGCCATGGCATTGCTGGATATGACACACTCAAAGCTACAGACAGACACACAAAAAACAGCCTCTACAAGCATATATGTATGGACATATATATGCTATCATGTTTAAACACACACACACACACACACACACACACACACACACACACACACACACACACACACACTCTCACCAAACACAAACCTCTCATTCCACAGAACACACACGCCTGACCTGCCTTCAACTGGCATACAAACACCAAAATTAAAGAAGCACACGTAAACACAAACACACCGGCACACACATACACACACATCTACACACACTCTTAGGGCCAGAGCAGCGCACTCATTAATATCGTTCTGACAACAACTGGCTCCCTGGCAACCTCTCTGCCATCGCTCACCCAGCAGCACCCCCCGCCTGCGAGCGTGCACGCGGGTGTGCACGGGGATTTAACCTGGGCGGAGCCGGGGGAGGGGAACGAGGGGTGCTAATAGGCTGAAATTAATCAACGCTGGCTGATTCGCTGTCTGGGGAATGAGTGGCGGGCAGCAGGCAGGCAGGCAACACATCCTGAATACTAATGGACTAATGGAGAGGGGAGACAGAAAGTAGACCCCTTTACCTCTCTCTGCTGTTTGTCAGGTAGCACAGAAACAGGATGAAGGACTGAAGCGTGTTCAATATGTATACAGTATGAGCCAACACTAACAAGCAAACAAAAGATTAAAACTCTGATGTGACAGAATGGCAGCAAATACACAAAAAGGAGCCAAATTGGGAATTGCTCAATCACATGTCAGCGCTGCAGTCATTCAATATTTCATATGACACATACATTAACCTTTGAGAGAAGGCGACAGTGACACAAACACCACCACCAGCAGTCTTTGCTGCTCCCCAGTAAGACAATGTTCAGACCAGGGGTCAGCGACCTTAAGGCCCTGACACATCGGGACGGCAGTCGGCCAAAGTCGTTCAACGTCTGTAGCTCTAGTTTTTTCTAGGGCTGCTTTTGTTTATACCCGCAGTCCTAGGTCTTACGGTGTTCTCTTCTGAATGAAGAATACAGACTACCACCACCTGTTGGTATGAAGAGTTAATACCTCTCACATGGGCGCAGAACGTACGTGCTCGTTGGCCGTTCGCTGTAGACGGTACGGTGTTCTAGTGCAACTTTTTGGCCACAGGTCAGTCAACTGTTGTGGCAGCTAGTTCTTTGACGTCGGTTAGGAGCATCAGGGCCTTCGGGCATGTGTGCCACTGTCTC